AAACCCACTGAACACCCACTGAACACCCACTGAACACCCACTGAACACCCACCCAAACCCACTGAACACCCCCCAAACCCACTGAACACCCACCCAAACCCACTGAATCCCCGCTGGGTGTTACCCCAGGGAGCACATACAGACTGCGAGCTGTCCTTGCTGCTATCCCTTGATTTGTTCTTCGCCAGCCTCTTCTTCTTCTTGTGCAGGGGCCTGGACTCCAGAATCATCTCCTCCAGCTCGAAGGTGGGGTCGCAGTGCAGGCGGCCCTTCTGCTGGGACACAACATATCACATCAGGACAGCAGGGACCCAGAATGAGAAAGCTCTGCTGTCACAGAGGTTCCTGTGACACGGGAGCAGCCCTGCCCAGGGTCAGACAGGGATCACCCCACTCACGTTGGGGACAAAGCCGGGCTCCACGCGCTTCTCRCACACGTCACCCCACACCACGCTGGACAGGTATGCTGAGGCCTGAATGTGGGCCAGGCAGGAGAAACGGTGCTCAGGATTCACTGTCAGCAGCTGGGGAGGGAAAACAGCGGAGATAAAGCATGGAGAGAAGAGCATTTCCACCAGAGRGGACASACAAAGCACCCAGAGCATCCTGCCYGGGCCAACTCCAGTGGTTCAGCCTTCTGCTGTACGAAATAAATACCTTACCATAGCAAAAACACCTAAGGAAATGTTCTGGAGTTGTGAAACCAGGTCCCACAAGTTCCTGGATCAGCTGGGTCTGCCCCTGCCATGCCCAACCCTTCCCATGGCAGTCTGCACTGCTGCCCTGCTGTTCCCTGTGCCAGGGACACATCCATCCCTCCAGAGCTGGTCCTTTTTGTCCAACCTCCCTGTCCTATTACACACTGTCTGGGACACAGGGACACCACTCCATCCATCCCTCCATCCATCCACATCCATCCATCCCTCCATCCATCCATCCATCCACATCCATCCATCCATCCATCCATCCATCCATCCATCCATCCATCCATCCATCCATCCATCCCT